CTGTACTGCTTTGAACAGTCCTCTGTGAGCAGGTTCCCATGCTCCCCGAGGAGCTTCTGCATCTTTTCTATGTAATGGTTAAGCTCAGGGTCCCACTGGGACTGTGAAGATTGCTGGAAACTCTGGGCAGGTGCACTGCGTGAAACTGAAAAATCCTGTATCCTCCCCTCTCCTACACCGATACTTCTTGTCTTGGTAGGGTCAGGTAGATGAGATGGTCCAGAGGCCATATTTCGGGTTTTTTGTCCAACCAGGAAATTCTCATTGATGTTTGTGAACCCAATGCCAGTGTCTCTGGTCTGTTTGAGACCTTTACCTACCAGATCTGCAGTTCCGACACCAATTGTACGGGTCTCTGGGGTGCATTTGATGTCTGTGACCCAATTCCCTACAGACACAGCCCTGGTAAAAGTCTGAGCGGTGTTGGTGTGCTTGTCTTGGGTACTGAGGAGAGTATTAGTGCTGGAGTCTGTGCTGAAGGTATGTCTGGTGTTGGTAAAGCGAGACACTGAGCTGGATACAGTGTTGGTATGCTGTGAAGCTGTCAGTGGTGATGCCATGATTCCCAGTTCAGCTCTTCTGATTGGATCTGTGGCCATACCTTCAGAAACCAGGTCCTTTGGTTCACAGATGATCACATCAACAGAACAGTCCCCGCAAGCCACTGAACGATACAGAGTCTTTCCTTTCTTTAACCCCAAAATCTCCATTGGTATCTCTGTGTTGGTTTCTGCGTCACACATCTGTATCTCAGTCAAAACTCCCTGTGTGTTTGTTAAAACCTGAGTCCCCACACCCTTTTCTTTGGACTCAACTCGCTCTCTGACCTCCCAGTGGCTCATGGGTACATCTGGTCCTGTGCAAACATTCTTCACCTCAGGTCCACTACATGTTACTCCAACGCTCTTTACCTCTGTTGCCTCCCCCGTGCTGGTATCCCGGACCTCTGTGTGATTACCCACTCCCTGGCTTGTGGTGTGAGGCCTCGCTTCAATGCCTGTGCTCACAGTGGATGGCTTAGCAAGACATGCTTTATCAGCTCTGCTCCTAGCTCCTGCAACCTGAAGCTCCAGCTTCAGCCGACTCATCTCTGTCTGGAGGGCGGATTCCTTCAACTCTGCTTCCAAGTATGAAATTCTCTCCTTCAGGGCACCAATTAATAGTTGCTGGGCATCAAGCTCTGCTTCTCTTTCACTGTAAATTCCAAGATGAACTTCAGACACCTCTGTTGCAATGGATCTGGTCTCTACCTGATTTGTGTACACACATTTGTTTTCTTTTAAAGTTATAGGTTTTATGTCTTCATCAATTCCAACTAGGACTTCCTTTTCATGAGGAGATGTATGGCCTTGTCCTAGCCTGGCTTGCAAATCTCCACCCTTGATGGTTCTTTCCAGTGCCTGCATCTCTTTGGTCAGTTTCCTGAATTCACTTAGGTTGTTTGGGTCACTCTGCACTGTGTGTCCCTCTTCTGTATGGACCTTGTTCTCAATATCAGACCTATCCATGCTATCAGCTCTCCTCCAAACCACATCATTCATGTCCTCATTGTCACTCTGGTTCTTGAGCTGAGAGACGAGTTGCCTCTTTTCTTCCTGGAGAACTGATATTTTTACCTGGAGGATAGGGATGATTTTCACCTGCTCTTCCAATTCCTTCAGCCTCTGCAGAGCTACCACCATCTGGTCACGGACATGCTGCAGGTGCATGGAGCCGAGACTTGGAACCGGAGTTGTCCTACCAGAGCTCTGTGGGCTAAATTTCAGGCTCCCTGTGCTGCCTCTGGTGCCAAGGGATGAGCTAAGGTGAACATTCACATCACTCCCTTTGCCAGTAGAATTGTTTCCACTGTTATTCTGATTATATGCCACTAGGCCAGTGAAGGGGGAGAGTGACCCAGGGGAGCTCACCCCTCCAAAGCTGGCCAGTCGTCGCCGAGGTTGGGGCTGAGGTGGAAGCTGAGGTGGAGGCTGGCTGGTCACCTCCTGCTCCAAGTGCTTGTGGGTCTCCATAATAGGACTTTGTCTTTTTAGAGATCTTACTGTAGGTTGAGGCTTTGACTCAGTAAGTATTTGAGACTTTTCAAGTCCCTCATTCCTTATCAGCTTATTATCCAAGGAGGAACCATGAGGAGGAGGAAGTGGTGGTCGACCTCTCGTTGTGGCAGACAAACCCAATTGTCTTGTAGCATCTGTGCTTGATGATGAAAAGGATTCTTCAGAACACCACTGGCTGGTTGAACCACCACTCTGCGTTTTTTCTGCATTATTGACAGCCACTCTGGGCCGCCTCTTAAGGCTTAGCCGCTTAATGATGGTGCAGTAATGGAAACTGTCCACACACTTGAGGTTTTCCACGTCCGACTGATGACTGTAGTCAATCCCCAATTAGTTAGGAACACACTCTTCAGTGTCTTGACCTATTAGAATAGTGAAAGTTTATTTAAAAAATAGTCCAAACACAGGGCTAGAGAGAATGATGCATGTAATAAAAACACAAGTTCAAA